CCCGTTGCCCTTTCAACAGCCGTTTGCAATCTGTTCTCGCGAGCGGGGGGCCATTATTTGTTGCCGTTCGTCGCTTGATGGCAGAGCGGCGTTGGATCTCCAAGTTTTGTTGCTCGAGTCGCGATATCCTCGCGGACGATTCAGTCACGCTTCTGTTTCGCGAACGCGTGCACACACGATCGTCGTGCCTCGATCGTGGTCGTTCGAAAAGGAGAGTGAGTGTACCCCGGTACGGTAACCGAGTGAATGAGAGGACTAAAAAGAGAGAGAGGAGGACGGACGTGGGTGGCTCGGTTGCGCGTGAGATGAATGTTCGAACGCGTTTAACGTTCAGCCCCGGTACGAGTGGATTTTTATCGGATGCAAGCCGCGGTGCATTGTGCGCCGAATTTATGACGGCATAAATCTTAACCGGGTCACATCCGGCAAAAACTATTCGTTCATTAGCGTCGCCGGGTCATAGATTATGGGTCGACGCTATCGCACGGATCGGACAATGCTAATTCCACGGACTGCCGGGCTTTTGCTTATAGTTTATATATATTATATATACACATATACATATACAGACGAGTGTAGAGAAGGAAGGGGCGATTTAGAACCGGATTTACGCTGCTCCTATTCCGCGTCGACGACCAACAGATCGATCATTCGCGTGAATAATGAAGAGGAACAACACTCGAGCTTCGTATACCGAGAGCAGAATCCCGGAGACCGTTCTGCTACCGGTCTAAGAAAAACCTCAACGAGTCGTAAACAAGGAGCAATTGGTGCATTGCTGGTGCACCAATATGTACGAGGGTCGTTCGATATTTTAAGAGACAGAGAGATCTAGTTCCTAGAGGGATCGTAAGTTGACGTCCATTTCTCTCGTCAGTTTTCCTGTTTGGCAATTATTTTAGTATAAAAAAAAATTGAAAATTAGAGAAAATTAGGTTGGGAGGTTTTGCCATATCTACTTATTGAACGATCCTCGTACGAATATATAAAGGAAAAAAGTGGAACTTATCAGTCAGCTTAACGCTTCAGTGTCTCTTCGCGTAGGCTTGCTATTTCGATCGACGAAAAATGGAGAATTTCTCAGGAATATTTCGTTGGTTGATAACCGGTGAAATTTGTCGCAGCGAGATTTTCTTGTGAAAACTATGTACGTCGCGTCCAGGTTCTTTCGATAAAATTGCTCTTTCGATATTTTCACGTGAATCAATCGAGCGACGTGTGTCAACGAATCGGTTAATGGAAACGGACGGAAAGGGTCGGCATTATCATGGAAACGCCGGGGACGAAAATAATAAATTGGAATTACAGGGGCCGGGAGCGGTGGTCGGCTGAAACCCAACGACGCTAATTTCATCAGCTCTGTTTACAATTTATATATCGAATGGAATCGTGAAACTGGGGTGTTTCGGTGCTCATCACGCTGTAACAAATTACCGCGTCTCCCAGCTGGAAAGAAATTACTCGCTCGCCCAGCAAAATGGAACG